TCAGATATAACCAACTTGTAATTCTGCCCCCCGAACTATATAAGGCGGGCAGAGACCCCCTCTAAACTCACACAATATCATACAATAGCTAATACAAATCAACAGACTACAGGAGTAGGGTATTATGTCATACTGACGGCATGAACCTGTCTAACTCGTGTGTCTCTGTTGCCTTCTTGTTCTTGATCACATGCTTCTCTGCTGATCAATCTACCTTCGTGGGATACCCCTCGAAGGACTGTCAATGATATTCTATCGACACTTTTTATACCAAACTTGTAGCTCTCAATAAGATCTATAACTTTATAGTTTTGAGTTTTTACATTTGAGGTCGTTAAAATGCTCGAAAAAATAATATTTGTATGCTGCTAAAATATTATATAATTTGTTTGAGCATCTTAACGTCCTTAAATGGAAAAACTCAAAACTAGAAAGTTGTAGATCTCATCGAGATCTACAATTTTCACATAAAAATAATCTTCATCCGACATCGTATTAAAGAGTTATGATTTTTTAAAGTTTGAGCCTCGTCACGCCACCCAGGTGACGCGACAGAACAATACCGTCACACTAATTGGTGTGGCGTGATAATGTTTTCCACGTCGGATACGTTGCCTAACGTGGCAGGTGTTGTCGCGCCAATGCATGTGGCGTGACAGCGTTATTTGGTCAAGCCAGCGGCACCGGCGCGACCAAAAGGATCAGATCTGTAAATTTTTTTTAGGTACGATTATTATTAAAGTATTAAATAAAAAAGGATTAACAATATAAAAAATTCCAGTGGTTTGGGGGTCTTGTTCTGAGTACTTTTTTTTGTTATTAGGTTTTTCTGTCCGTTCCAAAAGATGAGTCGGTCTATGAATAGTTCGGCCCACAACAAAATTTAATAGCGGTAGCGTGGAGGACAACTCTCGCCATTCTCATGCTAATCATTTTTCTGAGTTAGGTTTGAGGTATTAATTTAGACCTCAATCCAACGGTCTTCTCATGTCACATAAGATTTTTTTATGATGTACTCCCTTCGTCTAAAATTATAAGAGTTTTTTTTTGTATTTCTATACTATAGTTTTTACTATGCATCTAGACATAATATATATCTAGATGCGTAGCAAAGGTTATGAATATAAAAAAGTCATAACATCTTATATATAATTTAGAACGGAGGGAGTAAATAAAAGATATGTAAGTAAGAGAAAAATGTGGATGTTTCGTGAAGCAATCAACCTTACAAGAAAAGGTTTAGTACAATAAGACAATTATTTCATCATTGTACTATTTAATATTTCCATGCAGCTCATAAAATTTGTGTTGTTGATTGCACAACAAATTAAGGATAATTGAATTGCTATAAAACAACTTAAAGTACAACCTATTATGTGGTTAGTTGTTCAATCATGTTAATAATCATGTGAGACTGTATAAAACCATATTATATGAATATATATGGTATAACACTAATGTATTGCCATCACCGACCTCCGCCTCGCCGGGACGGCATTCGAAGCAAAGTGGTTGTGGTTGCAGCAACCGGACCACGACAGAGCTTGGTCACAGTTGCCGCTAAGTCATCCCAAGAAGCCCGTGCCTTCTTTCGAGCCTCCACCTACACAGTCATCGGCAACGGCAGAACGACCCTCTTTTGGACAGACAACTGGATCAACGGGGAATCCGTTCAAACGATGGCGCCCGCGCTCGTTGCTCTCGTCCCCCGGCGGGTCATCAAGACGCAGACGGTGGCGGAGGCGCTGACCAATGGTAACTAGATCCAGCAAATCACCGGTGGCCTGTCCTTGCCTGCAATAGCCGAATATCTCAACATCAGGAACGCAATCAGGGACGTGCAGCTAGGGGATGCAGCTGATCAAGTGTTGTGGAGATGGACCTCAGATGGCAATGCAAGTTCTCGGTACAGTCGGCTTGCAGCGCACTTCACCTCACCTCTCATCCCACGCCTGGATGCGACCTGATCTGGGAAACCTGGGCACTGCTGAGAGTAAAACTATTCCTATGGCTGGCCCTACGACGACGACACTGGACAGCAGATCAACGGTGGCGCCATGGGATGGATGCCAATGAGCAGTGCTTCCTATGCGATCAGGAACCGGAGACGATCGATCGCATTATCGTTTCCTGCTCCTTTGCAAAGCAGCTATGGAGCACGACGCTCAGACGGCCGACGATGATCAACACTGCAACAATCCTTGATCACTGGTCGCAGTGGAGGCAACGCTGGACCGGGGCCGAAAGACTAGGAGTTGATTCCATCTTTGCGCTGGTCGCCTGGGAACTCTAGAAAGAGAGGAATACGACGTGTTTCAGGGGTGCCAGGCACCCAAGTAACGCAAGTGCTAGCTATAATCGAGTATGAGGCAGAGCTATGGGTTCAAGTAGGCGCCAAGAATTTAGGTATGGTTGTCTTGTGTCACGAGTAATAACCTAGCATGTATACCTCTCCGGATAGGCGCATTTGTTATCGTAAACCCTAAACAACCCACCCAAGACATGAGCGTATTGTAAACGAACTCTTTTTACCTTGATACAAAGACGTGCAATAACCTTTTACGTGATCGAGAAATTAAAATACCAATGGATCAAAAATGCTACGGTGTGAGCATCCGACCGTCCGGACGCCGTGCTTCCTGGGCCTATGCACTACCAGCCCAATAGGCCTGTTTCCCTTTGCCTTCATTCTTCCACCGTTTCTCAAAATAAAAAAAAAAGACGGCGACATTCCCAACTAGCACGGCCGTTGCGGCGTTTCCTACCACTCGCCCGCCGCTCGCCTTCTCTAGCGGCGACCACCTCCGCTTCCTCCGCCCCAGGGCCCTCCCTCGCCTCCGAGATGCCAAGCTGTGCCACTGGAGTCGCGCTTGCCGCCCGTCCCTACCCTCATCGCCGGAGCCGGCTCTGGTGTCCTCCTGGTCACCTTCTCCTATGGCCGGAGACAACGAGGGCGTCGTGGCCGTGTCGTACTTCGCGCTTGCATCGAGGCTCCTCGCGCCCCGGTGCCCCAGCGGAAGAAGCTCGTGGCAGCCAAGCTCGTAGTCCTCTTCGCTCCGCCACCTCCTAGCCCCGATCTGCCCATTGAGGCGGCTATCGAGTTCCTCAACGCGTCTGACATGGTGGCCGCCTCCCACTAGAGTGTCGCGCCTGACATGTTTCAAGTGTTTCAGATGTCCAGAGGTATGTTGCAAGTATTTCATATGGATGTTGCAAAAGTAGATCGGGTTGTTGCATATGTTGCAGTGTTCCAGAGGCATGTTGCAAGTTTTTCAGAGGCATGTTGCAATGTTTGTTCGAAATGTTTCATCTGTTTCAGACGTATGTTGCAAGCGTTTTTGGATGTTGCATATGTTTCACACACATGTTGCAAGAGTATGTTCGAAATGTTTCAGCTATTTTAGTCTCATGTTGCAATAAGTGTTTTCATGTTGCAAGTTGCAAGTGTTTTATCTGGATGTTGCATATGTTTCACACACATGTTGCAAGTGTATGTTCCAAATATTTCATCTGCTTCAGACGTATGTTGTATTCAAGTGTTTTCATGTTGCAAGTGTTTCGTGTTTCAAAGGTATGTTCAGAGAGTCATTTTGGGTCACGGCCGGGGCGCCGTGGGAAGGGGCGCGGCGAGACGGGGGCTGGTAAATGAGGCGCACGGCGTACCTAGGGTCCTGCGGACAGGGCGTGCTCGTCCTCCTCCCGACTCCCGGGTCTTGCCTGCGTGGAGAGAGGAAGGGATCAAGGGGAAGGAGCGGCGGGCAAGGCAGACAGGGGTGGGGTACGCGTGTGAGGCGGGACGAGGCAGACATGGAAGGACTGCAGCGATACTATGAGAGTGCAGCGCGTTTCTGATGGATCGTTCTGCTAGGCCATTCGGTACCGTCCGACGGAATCCTGCTATTCCATCGTACGTCCGGGAGCCAGCAATCCTCCTATGTATTGCCCTCGTATCGTCCAATCCAACCGAATGAAGCAAACGAAGTAAATGGTGTGTCTAGATGGTATGACATATACAGTAGGTAGATAGTGACACTTTCTGCCGCCCATGCCGGCCGTCGACTTGTTACGTAGCAGCTTCGTTATTAGTAGGCCGGGTAGCTAGCTGTTTCTCTCATTTAATTTCCTCTGGTGACTGAGATCATCATCAAGAGAGAAGCAATGCCTATGTGGGGAGCGATTGATCGATCAAACGGCACATTTCACGTTGTCTCCCTTACTCCTACACCGCTATATATCCATATTTTTTGCAGTGTGGATGCCCTGTGTTGTGTCAGAGCAGTTTGACTCCGCTGATAGCTTCCGTCAGCGCTGACACACATCTTAATTAATCATATTATGATACTCAAATTATTACCTGCCCATCCAAGCAAAACCTGCCACATAAGTACGTTATTATATGTCGATATAAACCATATGTACTTAATTTATGCTGCTGCTGCAGCTTCTTCAATGCGGCCGGGAGTACGTGTGGCCTGTGTCAATCGATAATTTGATTTGCCTCGACATACATATACAAACTAACTAGTGTCTGGCTGGCCTAGAAATCAGAAACCATGGTGTGATTATTTGCGGCCAGGAGAGATCAAATATAGAATTAATTTCCTCCAGGTGCATGCAATGCAAAAGCGGCCGGCGGCATGCATGCTGCCCGTCGCCCATTGACGCATGCATGCCACAGAAACGTACAGTCCCAGCTCAAGAACATGGCTGACTAGCTAGCTACAGTGTGATCGTCGTCGTCATCATTCACCTGGCCGGCCGGAAGACTTAGTTAGCAATAGCATATGTGTCTGTGTGTGTGTATATATAACAGCTACCACCCCCCGCCTTAATACCTCACAAGGCGATCCGATCCAGTGGCGTGCGTGATAAACCACTAAGCTATCCCTTATTTGGTACTAGAGTAGAGTGTGAGCTAGCTAATATCTATTTGAATGGATGAGGAGGTGCCCCCGACGCCGCCCGCACCATTGTATGTCGATGGCTGTCCGGGATGCGCCATGGACCGGAAGAAGGCGAGCAACAAGAGCATCCCCTACAAGGAGTTCTTCTTCGTCACCGTCAGCACCATTGCCTCTGGTAATACCTGCCAAATTGGGCGGCTGGTATATAAGCCGGCTGGTTTTGACTGATTCAATAGTGTTGTGTGAGGGAGAATAAGCTAAAATAGGCTGACTCGGCTGAAAAGTAGTTCAAGCGAACATGCCGTAATACTAACTTGTAGGGGATGCTCTTTGTTGCTGGTCTCTTCTCTTCTGAGATCATTACTAGCTAGACACACATTGCCCTCGATCACCATATACCCTCTGTTCCTTTGACACACTATACATACGTTTGCTTACTTTGACTATGCCTTGCTGCCGTGCATGATCCCTTTGCATGTCGCATCTCTAGATCAAATCTCTTGCGCAAAGAGTCACGTACTCTTCTTGAATCCAATATGAAGACAATTTTTTTTTGTTTCATCAAAACATCTATGATATCCCACATCCTTGACTATTATATACTCTCTCCATCCCAAAATAAGTGTTACTATGGGATGTGTGCTGATCAAACTTTCTCAACTTTAACTAGATTTATAGAAAATATTATTAATATTTATGTTTCCAAATAAGTTTATTATAAAGTGTCTGATTTACAAACATATATAACATACTTTATGGTTATTGAATTATTGTATTATATTTCATAGCGGCAAGTGTGCTCAATTAATATGTAAATTTAGGGGTTACTTTTCATTCTTTCATAACGATAGGGGTATTTAGATGCAAATCTAAGGATTATTTTAAATTATCTTTGATATTTGTAGATGTGGGTAATTTAGATACTCCCTCCATACTAAAAAAATAAAGTCGTTTTGGACAAAGCTTGTGTCAAACATTGGGAATATAAATCATGAATAACTTTTAAGTCGTTGAGTTTGAAAATGTGAAAACCATATGTATAGATTTGTCTTGAAAAATACTTTCATAAAAATATACATATATCACTTTTTGATAAATATTTTTATAAAAATAAGTAGTCAAAGTTATGCTTTGGAGACCGTGTTGCTGTCCAAAACGACTTCATTTTTTAGTATCGAGGGAGTACAAATTTAGGGGATGCTTTAAATTATTTTCATAATGGCATGAGTGGGTATTTTGGGGTTACTTTATGTATTTTGCATAGTGGCAGATGTGGGTAATTATTTAGAAAGTGGAATAGCTATAATGGTTATTATTGATTGGTAGTGGTAATTAGACTATATTAAATTAAAGGCCACATGTTTCTTATTTTTGTGATCATTTCTATAATTTATCTCTTTTTTCAATCCAACGGAGACCCCCAATTAGTAATATTAAGATGGTAGGATTAGTATTTTCTCTAAATTCTATAAACAATATCCATGATAGCATCAAGCTATTATTATTATGTAATAATGCTACTTACATGTATCATGACTAAACATTTATTTGGTATACTAATTGCATGGAAAATGTTTACCCATATATATATAAGTGATGTTTCCTTACATTGACAATATGTTTTTTTTTCAGCTTTGCCAATATCGTCCCTGTTTCCCTTCTTATACTTCATGGTAGGTTGATCTCACTTTAATTTTATTAACATTTTTTTATGAGTAGGCATAGTTCTTATTCAAGTTGTCATCATCCACAACTAAGACATAGAGGGGATTAGTCAAACATGTGTCCCACATTCCGCAATATTTGTTCACACAATATTAAATCAAGCTATTTGTGCATATTTTTTTTTAGAAAAGGGCATATGGTGGACAATATTTTTTAAGAAAAAGGCATATTTGTTCTTACATTTTTTTTCATCTGAACCTCAATGCAAAACATCTTTCAATTCATCAGAGTAATAATATGTAACCTAAGCCGTGCTTCTCTTCATGACACAATAATATATAGATCGAAGATCTGCACGTGGCCAAAACAGAACAAGATATTGGACTGTACGCTGGTTTTCTTGGTAAGAGGGTTACAGCTCTCTGAGACATTCACATGTAAAAAAAAACTGAAGCGTGATGCTATAGTGCTTGTTTCAGCAAGCACACTTACCCATTAACAAAAACATACGGCAATGACTACTCTTTGTATTCCGTAGGTGCATCTTACTTTATTGGTCGATTTTTCGCATCGCTGTTCTGGGGTGTAGTGGCTGATCGTATCGGAAGAAAGCCAATCATTATATTTTCAGTCGCTTCAGTGTGAGTACAATTTTCTTGGATATAGCAGCTTTCTTAATATAAACTAGCTCTATAATGCAAAACTGGTTTTCTTCTCTCTTTGATGTTTTTCAGGGTCATATTCAACACTCTGTTTGGGTTAAGTGTGAAATATTGGATGGCAATTACCACAAGATTGCTTCTAGGTGCTCTCAATGGCATGCTTGCACCAATAAAGGTACCTTAGGATGCAAAAACGGCATCATTTATGCCATGGCAGCTAGATTCAAATTCTATAAATATGTTTATTACGACTCTCATATTTTTCAGGCTTACTCAATCGAGATTTGTCGACCGGAACACCATGCTCTTGGGTTATCAATTGTAAGTAAATACAATCCATACTTTTAATATATTTGTGTGCATATATAGGAAGAAGCAGTTCCATTCATCATTGCTCGGGTTGAGCTTAATAAACTGAATACAGGTAAGCACTGCTTGGGGCTTAGGTCTTATTGTTGGCCCATCCATTGGAGGCTACTTGGCACAGGTAGTATATATACAAATAAGTAATTTTTTTGGTTGTCTGAAGTCATCGGTTCATCTTTGGTCTCTACTTTTATTACTACAATATATACCAATAAAATATATCAAACATATACTATTATGAAATTATCTTTTAAGATAAATCTACCCGTACAACTTTCAAAATCCACTCAACATATGAAAAGTTTTAATGATTAATTGACTAAGGGCTACCCTTAAACATTACTTGTTTTTGTGACTATAGGGAGTAATATTTATTTTGAATTTTCCATTTATTATTATAATGTAACCAATTTTTTACCTTTTGTTCTCCTTTGTATGTCAGCCTGCACGGCAATATCCAAACATATTCTCTGAGAAATCAATTTTTGGGAGGTACACCAGTTGTGTAACAAATGAGATTAAGATTTTTACAAATTCAAGCTAAATTCATGGATCTAACTGTATTTGCTTTTTCCAAGGTTCCCGTATCTCCTGCCATGCCTAAGTATTTCCATCTTTTCTGCTGTGGTTCTAGTAAGCTGCATATGGTTACCGGTATGTGATACGTGCTCCCATATTCTTTGAATAATAAGTCATTTCAATCACTTTCATATGCATTTTCTATAATCTAAAGAAGAGTGTTCCCTTTTGGGTGAATTAACTTAGAGAGCTCCATTTTTGCCTCCAACTTTTTTAAGGGTCTTTTATCAGCCATTAGTAACTTTCAGGTCTGTATCTAACTAATGCTATTAATTAAAGCCCATATATGAGACAACTACAGCAGGAATATGCTAGCTAACTGTTGCCAATATACTTGGAAGTTAGGAGGCTTATCCTTGGAGCCAAATTTTAAAGTAAGCAAACAAAATAATTAATTTGTTTCTTGTTCACAAGAAAACACAAAACTGAGAAAATGTAACATGATAAAAAATAATATAATATTTGTTTCTTGTTGATCATGGATATAATTCCGACACAACTGAAATGTGCTTAATGTGACTAATGCTTCCTCGTCCCTCACAAGATCCTTCTTTACCATCCCACTACACATAGTGATATGAAAATAATTTCTTTTGCCCTATCCATAGAAGTTATTTGTAATGGCAGTTTTCTTAAGCATACCGCATAAACAAATCATTTTCAGAGATGGTTGACTTAAGCAACCGCTTCTGAAAATCGTTTATGAAAGTTATGTTTTAAAATAGAGCTGAGAACTTTTAACGAATATTTGGGCACCAAAATAACTTCAAATGAAAACATTTTCAGCTCGAACTTGTAGATCTCTTTGAGCTCTACGATTTTGGTATAACATGTCCTCATCCAACTTAATATAAAAAATTATCAATTTTACACTCGTGTCATTTTTAATCGATGTTTAAAAAATTGATCTGAGAACTTTTCATGAATTCTTGGGAACCTAAATGTTTTCAAATGAAAACTTTTTCAACTACGAAGTTGTAGATCTCATTGAGCCCTACAATTTTGATGTAGCATTTTTCTTCATCTGATTTAATATGAAAAAGTTATCAATTTTATATATGTGTCATTTTGAATTGTTGTTTATAAATAGATCTAGGAACTTTTAACGAATATTTGGGAACCTAAATGTTTTCAAATAAAAAAGTTTTCAACTATACAGTTGTAGATCTCTTCTACCTCTATAATTTTGATATAACATTTGTCTTCTCCGATTTAATATTGAGAAAGTTATGAATTTTATATAGTGTAATTTGGATCATATTTGTAGTGGCCCTTGTCTTCAGCAACCACGACTAGAAATTGATTTCTAGTGGCAGTAGTTTTAAGTCAATTGCCTCGAAAACTAGTCTATTTGCATTGGTGGTTGACATAAGCTACTGCTAGTGAAAATATGTTTTTCTACTGATGATAGCTTAAGTCAACTGCCATTAAAAATAGGAGCATTTGTACCGCAGTCATGTTATAGAGATCACCGCTAGAATAATTGAATTTCTATTAGCGTTTCTTGGCTATATGCACTATATTGGTGTCTACTTTTGTGTACCGCTAGTGAAAAAATATGTGGCATCAGTGAAAACCATTTCTATACTAGTGTTGTGCTATTTTTTTTGTGGGATTAATAAATTACTAAGTTATGCTTGAGAAAAAACCATATTATTTATATTTGTTAATAGGAGACACTTCATAAGCACAAGATTATAGACAATGAAGTAGAAATGTCCGGAGATCCAAGGACTCCGCAAACAGAAGATATACATCCAGACAAGAGTCTATATAAGAACTGGCCATTGATGTCTTCCATCATTGCGTATTGTGTTTTCACGCTTCATGACACTGCATATACTGAGGTAATTATCTTAATATATATATGTTGACTTACCCTGAATCTAGCATATGAATCAATCCAACAAAAATGAGAATCCTCTTTGTATCTCTGTTACAATTTTAAAACAGATACTTTCCTTGTGGACCGTAAGTGACAGTAAGTATGGTGGGCTAAGCTTTTCTTCTAAGGAAATTGGTCAAGTTCTTGCAATTGCAGGTATGTTCTTTTTAAGATGTAAATAATTCTATACTACGATAACTGCTATGAGACGTTGTTTACTACTCCCTTCATTCCAAATTGTAAGCCATTCTAGCTTTCCTAGCTACATTACTTTTGCTATGTATCTAGGTATACATTATGTCTAGTTAGATATATAATTTTTACTATGTATCTGAAAAGTCAAAACGGCTTACAATTTAGAATGAAAGAAGTATTATTTTGCTAATCCTTGGATATTATTAATTTCACATTCTATTTGTTCTAGGTGCTGGACTTATTGTGTATCAAATATTCATCTATAGACCGGTCCACAAATATCTCGGAAGTGTAAATTCATGCCGTGCTGCATCTGTGGGTGCCAAATAACTTGAAAAATAGAAACGTGCATCACTCCTATCCACTAACTAATGTCTTTCTTCCATATGTAAACTGTAGGCCCTGTCCATACCACTTATCGCTGCTTTTCCCTTCATGACACACCTGTCAGGATTAAAACTTGGACTAGCTCTTTATTTTGCTACTATTTTGAAAGCTGCTCTTGGGGTAAGTTCCGACATATATCTATTCTCTGTATTCTGCTAATATTATCTGTTTATATCTTATAGCTGATAAAGACTTACATGTGTTCTTCAAATCATTACTTGATCGTTGAAGAATTGCTTCAAACTCATGTTTCTATGATCATGGGAAAGAAACTAGCTAGAAACTATATTGTATTTTAATCTTTAGTTACAATATCATCTTTTGTTAACGTTACACCTTTGACGAATGTGATCAGATAACTATCCTGACATGCACTTCACTTCTTCAGAACTATGCTGTGGTAAGTATCACATATATTGGTTTACCTAAGTTTTAATGTTTCAAATGCTACAAATTTTAGCTAATTCATTGACCTCCGAAAACAGCCACAACATCAAAGAGGCGCCGCAAATGGCATAGCGGCGACTGCGATGTCCTTCTTTAAGGCTATTGGTCCAGCAGGAGCAGGCGCTTTGTGAGTATTGTCCCCACATCATACATCCAGATCTTCTTTGAATACAGATTAATGTATTCCAGAATACAAATTGTTGGATATGACATGTGAAACATAATAGTACGTACACTATCTTCAAGAGGCAGATCAAATTGATCGATTTAAGTGTGTTATATTATTACCTTGTTTGTCTAATACCACAGGTCGATGTTAGGTACAGAATCCTGTGCACCGTGCATTAAAATTGATAAACAATCTGATTGATGAGGTTTTTTTTATGTAGATTCTCATGGACCCAAAAACGGCAAGATGCTGCCTTTTTTCCAGGTATTTCTTAAAGTTACTTTTATTCTTTTAGGTACCACCCCAGTTCCTTTTTTTTTTTCATTAATGTTTTTATCTTGGGTATAGCATCAACTATGTTTTATGTTTGTGTTTCCAAATGCTAAGAGAAGATTTCAATCATTAATCATGCAGGGGATCACATGTTGTTCTTCATTCTGAATGTGGTCCAATGTATTGGGCTCGTGCTGACCTTTAAGCCATTCCTAGCAGTACCAAAACACTATAAGTGATAGCTGCTCGAACCCAAGCAATGGAATAATGGTGGATTAGCAAAACACACATGTGCCAGAAAATGTGTTTTTGAGTGGCAGCTTATATGTGTGAAGGAAAAATAGCCATAATGATTTGTATGATATATCTTTACACTCCTTATATTTAAGTTCTAACTTGATCGAGCACACTTTATGTCCGATACAAGGTATCGGATCCATCTTTAATTGTTTCAATTCAAATGTTGGTTTGAGTATGAATGATGAGAATTCAAAGTTTGGAGTTCAGTCATACAGCTTGTCAAAGTCAAGTGGCAATATATACTATATCCTTGACGGAGAACCCAAAAGCAACATGCATGTGTGGAAGAAGGAAGCGATCGTAGCCATTTTGTCTTTAAATATAAATAAGTTTCTTGGCAGCAAGAACTGTTGAATTTAATTGTAGTTGGTCCACTATTTATATTAAATTAAATCAAATAAACCCAAAGGACCACAATAAATATGTGGAATGAATGTTTAATCTAGCATGGAATTATTTGACTATAGATTAGCATGACGCTCATCCATCATCCGCCGTCAAGCCACTTGATTATCAACACAAATCAATACATGGCTTGATCTTCCATGAATGATATGATCCACTTCATAACTTCACATGGCCTTAGAGGTTCACCGGTCATAACTTTGCTTGCTCTTCACTGTTACCTCAGTCCATTTGCGCTAAGCCCTCTATTCATGCTTCACCGCCTCAATGGTCCATCGCACCCAAGCCTCTAGCTTGCCCTTCACCAGGTCTTGTCCTGAGTTTTTCGCACCTAGAACGAGAGACTAAATTTTTGGACCTTTTTATATACTGCTAGTACTACTCATCTGCTAGTATATAGGCACATGTATACCAAATGTTACTAATAATTAAGTAGTTAACCGGATGCAAAAGCAATATTTATATAAAATAATTTGTATACATATTAAATTACCTCAAAAATTTCTTCTAGCATTCCTCGATGGTGCGAAGTCATCGATGATGATGTCAATATCAATGTCATCCAACAATCGCTTCTCAATGCATTTAACTTCTCTTGTGACATTGTAGATCTCAAAATAGTTATTCAGTAATTTTAATTTTGAGAAGCTTCTTACAGCTGATGCCATAGTCACTGGCATAGTAAACAAGATGCAATAAGCAGTGGAAGTACTAGGATAACAACCACTTTCAATCGCTTTTTAATGCATTTAATCTCTCTTGTGACATTGTAGATCTCAAATAGTTCTTCAGCAATTTTAGTTTTGAGAAGCTTCTTACATCTAATGCCACGGTCACTGGCATAATAAACAAGATATGATAAGCAATGGAAGTACTAGAATAACGATCGCCTTCCGTAACAAACTAAAAAATCTCTATAGCTGTCATTTGTCTATATGGCAAAGTGGATTGCAAAACCCTTAGCTCAAAAATTAGATCATTTAAATCAATGTCAGATGAGCCATTTAGAGAGAAATCTAATGTCAATGTTGTCCAACATGAATTTAGTTCAGCACTATCCAAGGACTTCAAGGTTGTTGAACTCATTAAAAACCCAAATATTTCACTAAATGACAGAAGTTGTTCAAATCTACTTTTCAATGATCTGATTGTCATATCAACCATAACCAGAAAGTAACTGACTTCAAATTCCTTCCTAGCTTGCAAGATGACTTCCTCACTAGTATTTTCATCAAAATGTTTCTTTCTAAGAGCACGACACTTTATAGGAAATGACGGCTCAAAACCCATTTCAGACGCAATTTCTTTAGCACTGACCATACTAGAAGTAAACCCATCATTCCTATAGGTATCAAAGTAATCCATTATGCCTTCTATCTATCGCATGTCATAATCAATGAACATAGATGGTGATTGCAATTTTTTGCTCACTTTATTGATGCCAAATAGAATGTCGTGCCAAAAATAAATTCAAAGCTGCCAAGCACATCAAATAAATTCTTTGCATCACTCCTATCCTTGGGTTCAACATTAGGATCTTCACTTAGTGCAAGTATAGTTTTCCTTAGCTGAGGAGCTTGATAGTAACACTTTTAATCAGACTCTCCGAACATGTGTTGCACAATGATTTCATAGTAAGACCATCAACATAATCAAGCAAAAATTTCCATATTTTGTTACAACCAGCAAATAGTACATATATCTATTACACAATTCCAAAAAAAGTGACAACTTTAGGCCTTTGGTGCAAGACTTGGCCATATCACAAAGAATAAGATTAAGACTAGCTATGACAAGCACTTGGCATATATAAAGCTCTTGGATTAATATCAAGCAACCGGCTTTGAACCCCCTTATGTTTTCCTTTCATATAGAACCATTATCATAACCTTGTCCCCCTAATATCATCAATATTGCAACACCCGAGAATACTTTACCGGTTTTAATATAGATTAAGTTTTTTTTAGTAAAGGTTGACCGATTTTAAAAGAGACAAAAAATTTAACTTTTTGATCCGTCGCTCGGATGGACAAACAGAGACTCAGGAATGCATAGAGCTCGTCGAATACTTTAAAATTAACTACTCATGTGTTGTTTGGAACTTGGATGACTAGTACCTTGTCTACAGTAACCGCGACCAACCGTGCATGGTCGACTCCTATTCCCTTCCGTGACCGAGTCCTGGGCTCCTGGCCGTCGGTTTTTCTTTCTTTTGTGGAGGGTGTCCCTTTGCGTCTTTGTGTCCATGCCCAGCAGCCCTAGCCGCCTCTCTCCTGCACGCACAGAAGAAAGGAGGTGAAAGAGAAGAGAAGGGAGGAGAGAAATTAGGGCTGCATTGTCTGCCGCCGTCGTCCACGGAGCTATTCTTCTACAAAAATTTGGTTAGGCATCATCTTCTCTCCTCATTTTGCCCTCAAATCCTTGTTCCCTTGCTGTTCATGATGGATATACCATGTTTGCCGTAGATTGGAACAGTGAGATGGTCATAGCGGCGGAGATCGCCATGAGGTGGAGAAGAGAAAGGAGGAAAGGAGTGGATCGTCGAGAACTTGTCGTCGAGTTCACTGTGGTTGACCTAGGTGAGATGCCAAATCCTAATCCCCTTCTTTAGAGCATGTTTAGTTGGAGTAATTCCCGAAATTAATCTCATTCACGTTCTGAATTTCTGTTAGACTGAGCAGTTTTAGTTCGTCGCAATTTTAGGGTATCTAAGTGACCTTAATAAATTTTATTCCTGTGGACAAAGTGGTAGAGTACTTCAATACCTTTCTTTTGACAACGGGATCACCCTCATAGCCTCTGTAGTTTTAGAGATATGGTTTTCTAAGAAGGCTGCTTTGCAGTGGCAAGAATCTGGACAGTTCTAGATCTATCTAATTTTTGGCTCTCTTAATGGACGAATTTGAACTTGTGATCTAAATGAAAGTTGTAGTGATTTGCTTAATCTTTTCATATTATTATAGAACACATTTGTTGGATGAGTATATCGCCGGTTATGGATTTTATAAGATTGCTGTCCTGTTTTGGTCGTCAGAAAACTTCAGTTAAGTTAAGATGTTGTTTAGGCTATCTTGGGATCTTATATGCCGAATCTTTATATACCAAAATTGTAGATAATCATGTTTTCTATCATTTGGTAGGTTTTTAGAATTTTTGAATGTATGGTTATTTGTCTATGACAAAGAGAAGGGATAGTGCTGCTGTCACTATCAGTAGCGAGTCAGTAGATGCTTAAACAACGGGTTTGGGACGTTCTAGTGTGTTATTTATTGTTTGTACTTGTTGGTATGATGATGTTGGTACTGAGGTTGGCTTGTGATCATGTGATTTACCTTCGGAGCGTGCCTAGCTCTTTTGCTTGATCGTCGGTAAAGGCAAGTAAATGTGGCGCTGTGGTCCACATGCTTTGGCTTTGTTGTTTGAATTGCCTCCACTAAATTTTCAGTATCTCACGGTAGCCATATAATTTGAAATTTTAAGTTTTTACTTTACTTTGAAGTATACAATTTTATATCTTATGAAACTACTATTGAATTATGAAGTACATGAAGTGCATACATTGCAACGTTTGCATTTGCATTCTTCCTATTGATATGCATTTGAAGAAACCATAGCTGAATTGGTGCGGTAAGTACCGGTACAGCAACACACGTTGATGAGCAATGTAGTTGCAGCAACGCACGTTGATGAGCAATGTGGTTGCAACCCTTACTCCCTTCCTTGGGACGTGTGGGTAGAAGTGAAGTCATGCATCGCATTGCATCATTTGCATTTGTATTTTGAAGTATATTTAAATTTCTGTGAGGCAATTGACGTATCTATTATAATGCTATTTAAATTTGATGCTTAATCTAAGTGTGATTTAAATAACTCTGTTAAGGCAGTTTGTTTGCTGAGGTTTTCCTTAAACCTCACACGCTTGTTCCCCCATCTCAGGTACATGAGCTTCAAAGATGCTTGGCAGGATGGGAGTAGCAGCATGAGTGCACTTTTGTTAGCATTTAATTCAAACTAACACATTTGTTACAACAAATTAGTTGGTTGTCGCATGTTTTTTGGTACATTGTATTAAACACCTTAGTTTTGCTAGTTGTCTTCGAAGATACCTTTGTTCATGTCATCGTAGAAGACTTAATTTAATGTTTAACTTAGATGACGTTTGTTGCTTCTGTGTTATGTGATGATGTGTTCTTGTTAGATTGTAGTGTATTAGTACTCCAGAAGGAAATTTATGTTGTTATTTTCTCCTGGGGTGTTACAAATATGAAGACCAAATGTTTAATGGAATCAACGAAAACATTGAAAAGCCCAGAATCAGATGTGTCATCTACCTTCAAGAAACCAAGAATGTATTCTTCTATTTTAATTTTATCATCAACCATGTTAACACATCAAACCAATAAACTTATTTGTTCTTGGTGACTAACATATGGGGTACAATCAAGAATAATAGAGAAATATTTGGCTATTTTAACATCTTGATGACAGAATTTGTAATATTAGCGACCATACGAGAAATCAATTCATTCTGATGAATTTTGTGGCTACGATAATGAAGATGAATATCTTTGTTAGAATTAAAAAGCTTACGACAGAAACAAAATGCTCTGTCCAAGTGTTTGAAATAAACTAACCATTTTCTATCATGTACCTCTTCATTGCTCATTTTTCTAGAGTAATAGGTATAGGAAAAATGTCTATCATTGGCCTCCCAAGGGAATTCAAGATTCTCTTCTCTTATAGGCCCCTTCTGTACTAATGTGTACCTTGCTTTGTTATCAAGTTTATTCCAATTTCTTGGATCATAAATATCGATACAAACTGGATCCTCATCAAGAAGAGTAGGCTCTATTTATGTAAGTACAATCAAGCCCTAATTGTGGGTTTTGGTGATAATGACCACATAATTAGAGGACTAATATGATCTATTGATTTGACAAGCAGGTGGCATGAGTATGAGGATGTTATTTAAAATGGTGGAGCCCCTAATTACAAAATGACACGGTGATGGACTCAAAAGGATGTTTAAATACTTTTATCTTTTGAATTTGAGTATAGGAAACGTCGCACCATAAGGGGGGGGGTATAATACACAAGTTTTAATGTGCAACCAAGTGCTCATCATAACCACCATCCACAGGTCCTCAACCAAAGCCAAGCCAGCCCACATATTACTCTAACCTACTGTTTTACATGCAAGCTCCTTGAAGAGATTTTTCCTTCTTGTCATCGAGTGACTTGCATTAAAAAGATGATGTTGTTTTTGGTCTTCCAGATAACTCAGCAGCATATTATTAACACTTCTCTAAAAACTATGCTCCCAAAGAGGTTTCTTGCAATGAGGATCATATCTACGGGCCGAAGAGTTCCATCCCAGTGAATCAACATTGAATTCCAGCAAGTATGGCTAAAAGGGCACCAAAGAAGAGATGCATGATAGTCTTTTCATAGCTGCAGTTGCATAACACACAATTGTAATGCTTGAGCTGTCTATTTTTCCTCCTCAAAAGGTTTCTGGTGTTCAGTCTATCTCTAAGAAGAAGCCAAAAGAAAAATTTATGTTTGCCCATACTGGTAGCTGTGCACATCCATTTGAAGAGTGGTGAGACTGGGTTGAGTTCCAAGAGCCAAGTGTAAGATTTCTTTGGTCTAAAGGTGTTGGACAACAAGTTGTATTCCCACATGTCATTAACCATGGGGTCCCAGGTTCACTTGAAAAGATGGAGGAGATCATTGAGTTGTTCAGAGGTTTGGGTTAATAGGGGGAGACTAAAAATTCTACTTACTCAGTTATCCAGGAAAATTTTGATGAAGCAATTTGGTTTCTTTGAAAAAGAAAAGAGTTGTGAGAAACATTCCTGAAGAGTGTTGGTGGGCGACAGATCTTTCCAGAGCAAAATTGTATCACCTCTACTAGGGGAGCATTTTGCCATCTTTCTGAATCAGGATAAAGTTTGATGATGTCTGTCCACTAGAAAGACCCAACATGGTTCCTTGCTTGAGGTGGTAAAGGGCTGGGTTTGTAGAGGTTGTACATCCTAGGTTAGCTCCACCCAAAGGATATCTACATTTATCCATGAATTGAAGAAGCAGAGCTATATTTAGGTTTTGAGATCAATGATTCCAAGCCCATCCTGATCTTTGGGTTTGGAGGCTATGTCCCATGCAGCTAAGCAAAAGCTCATTTAGTGAATTTCTCCTCCACTCCATAAGCAATGTTTTATGTAACGAATTAAAGAACAATATGTTCTATGGCCCTTGGAGGGACGTTGAGGGTGCGCATGCAAAAGGTTGGCACGACAGAGAACACTGAGTTCACTAAGATTAGTCTTCCATGATAAGAGAGGTATCTGATGATCCCCATTCACCTGCCTTTGATCTTGGAGAGCAAGGGGCTGAAATCCTAGAAACAGGGTTTGGTTGTGCCTTAATCCAAGGTAGGTAAAAGGCACATTGTTTCCTTATCATTGCGCTTTAGAGTCACTTACTACCAAATAGCTACTTGAGACTCTTAATGAATCTAAATGCAAAAGTTTGAATTGAAAACTTTTTGTTCTCTTCAAGTACCGAAACTTTGGTTTAGGTCGTTTCTCCATCCGAGATAATTTCAAAAATTCAAGAAAAAAATCAATTACAAAATCTGAAAACTTAAAACTAATTTTCCAAGTACTAGATGATTTCAAATAAAAAAACGGTGAATACAAAGTATCGGATCTCTTCAAGTACTACAACTTTTGGTTTAGGATGCTTCTCCATATGAGGTCACTTGAAAAATAAAAAAATGGATTTTAAATTATGAAAAATTTAAACAAAATCTTTAGAACCTAAATTATTTTAAATGAAAAAGGTCATCAACTATAAAGTTGTAGACCTCTTTGAGTACTCCAACTTTAATAAACAATTTGTCTTCATATGACTCGATTTGGAAGAATTATGAATTTTACTGTGATACACCTATTTTCATAGTTGCATTTCTAGAATTGGGTGAAATTTCGAGATGCCTCTAGAAATATCATTTTTAGAGGCAGTTCGACTTTCCATCCACCTCTAAACATAGAGGGCATTTCTAGCTAGAGGCGGCTAATTTTTTCAACCGCCTTTAAAATTCAAATTCTAGAAACAATCGACTTAGATATCATTTTTGAAGATGGTTCATGATAGAGCCGTCTCTATACTGAAAGGACAGTGTCTCTAAAAAATGATTTCTACAGTAGTGAGAAATAAATGATTTCTAGATCGAGACACTTAAGTAGAAACGGGTGTGGCAGCTGTCTCTAAACTTGTTTTGACCCCGAAATGATTTTTTTAGACGACCCCGAAATGATTTTTATGGTGGTGGACGATTACGAGATCTACGTGTCCACCAAAGGAACTGGACAGGTTTTTGTGGTGGTGGTCGTTACAAGATCGAGGTGTCCATCAAATAAAAGGAACTGGGGACACTCTTGAGTAGCTGACATGGTACTATTTGGGACTCGGTTAGAAATTGACGATTCGCTCTAAAGCTGTGTCATCCGCGTACGATGGAATCCAATAGGGCTAGTCTAATAATGTTTGCAGTTTTCAATTGGAAGGATGAAAGTCACAACGCGCGCTTAGATTGAAACAGTGCAGGGACTAGTATGTGTCACAGATCGACTGTTCCATCATTATCATCGCCTTATCTTTACGTCCTTTTGTGTTTGTGATTTGAAGGTAGCACAAAAGATTGACGGCCTTTAATTGTTGAGAGAGACGGGGCAAGAATCGTACGTTGTATGGAATTAATCTCATCACCCCCGACGAGGAATAACGAACCACGCACAGACGTCGATAGCCATGGACGGCTTGACGCGAGCTTGAGCGGCAACCATCACATAGGAGTAGTCACTCTCGCGCGCTCACAGGATACGTACGTGATTTGTTGGAGTCTTGACTTGGTGCCCGGCCACCACCACCAGATCGAACTAGCTACTCTCCCTCTCCACGCCTAGAAAACGTACACGAGCTAAGGGCTTTGCATGCGCCGTTTCTTGCACCGTTGCTCACCTCTTTCCAGAGTAGATTCGTCGTCCATGGCCAACAACATGCTCCTCGTGACCCAGTGCCACGAGTCGAACACGGACAGCTTCATTTTGCCGGCCGGTTACGACCTCAAGACGACGGCGACCTCCTCCGTTGTCTCCCTGCCCGTCATCGACATGTCCCGTGGCCGCGACGAGGTCCGCCGTGCCATCCTCGACGCCGGCAAGGAGCTCGGCTTCTTCCAGGCGAGTTATAATATCCATCAAGTCCCTTCTTCCGTTGATTGCCTAATTAACTAATATATATATAGTTAGCATCACGAGCATTGATCGATGTGTAGATCGTACAAATTAAAACGTGCTGCCCGCAGGTGGTCAACCACGGCGTCTCCGAGCAGGTGCTGCGTGACATGGAGGCGGTGTGCGAGTTCTTCCAGCTGCCAGCGGCCGACAAGGCGGAGTTCTACTCGGAAGACAAGAGCAAGCCCAACAGGCTCTTCTCCGGCACCACCTACGAGACCCTCGGCGAGAAGTACTGGCGGGACTTCCTCCACCTTGTCTACCCCTTACCCGCCGGCGACACCAAGGACTGGCCCCACAAGCCACAGAGGCTCCGGTAATATAAGATCAGTGATAGTATGATGATCACATCACCATCACCATATATATATGCATACATGCTTTGAATGTATATATATATGTGTGTGTGTGTGTGTGTGTGTGTGTGTGTGAATTGCACAACATATTCTTACTTCAATTAGGCTACTAGAAGTGTATATTTCACCTAGAAAGATGATCTGAAACATTCTGGGTAAGAAATACACCCACGACTGATCCATCGAGAGAAATGCCTGTCCCCTGTAAACAAATTAGATTATATAAAAAATTAAGTTTTGCTGTGAAAACAAAAACACATGTCCTCCGTCATCTCACACACACTATGCATAGAAGATCCACATCTTATGAATTATTACAGTGCCCCATGTTACATTGTGAATCACTGTTTAAATGGACTCAGGTATGACCCTTTCATCACAGACTAATATGGTTTCTGTTCTTCAGTCTCTCCAAAATGCAACTGCGGCTATCAAATTTCTATAACCATACAAGCTTACTATTTGTCTATTTAGTGCAAACTTAATATGATTTTTTTCAAGTTACCAATCTGAATATTTTCGAAATATAGATCAACGATTAAAAAGGCCTGACTGATGGAAACAAGAACCTGAGATAATGAGTACAGAATATAGAAAAGGCAGACTAGAAATATAAAATTGAAATGGTATCCATACCCTGAACTAGATGCATACGAGCAATGAATGAATCAACCCGTCCTCTGAACACTCTTCTTTCTTCGTCAAGCCACTTCTCTTTATCCTTGTCCAACCCTTCAGCACCATCACCCATATCTGGCCCCATTAATAAGTTCCACGTCATAGTGGTGACCGGATCTATGTTCACTTTGGCCCGAGAACGGCTTTTCTTTGTCTTCCCCTCAAATGCAACCAGTGCACCAAATTCACCTTCATAAGGAACAAGAGCATTTTTGGGTACCTCTGCCACAACCTTGTCTGGTCCGTTTATGCTTAAGAGCTTAATCTTTTGAATTATGCCATCTAAAGGATCAACTGATGCTGCTGTAGCTTGAGGAATGACACCTCCATGAATCTCCTTATCTTGGTCAGAACTTTTCGACTCCACAGTTGACATCCTAGGAGTAATTCCAGTCGAAGGTTCAGAAGCATAAGTAATACCATTGGGGCTTACTACTTTTCTTGGACGGCCCCTTTTTCTTGGCTTCTCAGTGATGTTTGCTTCTGCAGTTACTATAGAAGAGTTAAGATTGTAGTTCCCATTTGTGGTTCTTTGGCTTGCTCGTTGGGTAAGGGATCTAACAACTTCATCACTTGTAGTTCTGATATGCTCATCAGCAGTAGTAGCAGTGCAGTGGTTATGGCCCTCTTGACTGGAAGTATTGTGTTTCAGACACGACTGGCACCTTAGCCACAACGTTTTCTAAGCATTGATGCTGATGAATAGCATTACTCTGAATATAGTTTTCTGTGGATGGATTCACTGTGCCGCTTGATAACTGTGTGTTCCCTGTTGTTAAGTATCCAGACCATTTATTTGGTAAAGCAAAAATGTCGCTAGAGCGATGTGGCCTAGATGTAATTTCCCAAGGTTGAATTTGATGCACTCCATTCCTCAGGATATTACTTTCTCCCAATTGGTTTACAGTACTGCCAGGCAATGGTACGTTCTGTGCAGTGAAGCTTCGGAACTGTTTATTAGGTAAAGCAATAAATCCTTTGTCAGTAATATTTTGCAGAGCAAGTCCAGTACGTTCATGGATCATGTTGTTCTGTGACGTAACAAAGTCAATCATTTGCTTGGAAGCTTGTGATTTCTCAAGGGCCATCAACCTTTGTATGTCAGCCAAGGTACCAATTCCAGGGTTCATAGCTGAAACTTTATTTGTGTTCGAACCATCAGAAAATGCTGATGAGGAAGAAAGCTTTCCCGTAGTTCCATTTAGGTGATTGCTATGATCCTCTGGTCTCATCCTTTTGCATGCTTCAGGATAATAAGATGTTTGAGAGCTAGTGGAAAGGGGGTCATCACTACAGAACTTCCTTGTTCTATTTGAGTTAATAAAGTCGATGCCAAAAGAAATCTGATGACCACTGGTAGCATTGTGTTCTCTTTTTTTACCCATTGCAAGAACATCTGAATAGCCTGGAGAATCATGAAAACCAAAAGCTGCTCCAGTTTGGTAGTTACTATTGGTAGAAAACTTCAAGTAATCATTCTCCACAGAAAACTCATTCAGATTTCCATTCATCACATCCCTTTCATTATGCTTGGGAGGTACAAATGGAATTTCTGGAAGTCTATAGCATTGAGCCATTTGTTTGATTATTGCACCTTCAGCTATACAAGCTTCAGGATTGAAATTGCCCCCCACTGACACCCTTTCGGTATACTGAGAAGCTACTGCCATATTTTCTGGAATTCTATAATTACTAAGCATCTGATAATGTATTGGTGATTTTTTTGTACAATCTTGAGATGTGCTTATGTATTGGTCAAAATTGGCTGATGGGCGTCGCATATGATCTACAGAGCTGGTGAGATGAGAGACACATCTAACTGGCAGACTAGAATTAGAATCCAGTAACTGATTTGTTTGAACTTTTTCTCTTAAACCAAACTGGAAAAATTTTCCAGAGCTGTCCATTAGACTAGAATAATTGGTTGGCATCTGACTTGCTATAGAATTGTTCAGATCAAAATTGACTCTTTTAGGCATGCAATCTGTCCGTAATCCTTGAATATCAACTATTGGGTCAACTGAAATAATAGAACGTCTTGTACCACCCCACTGGCATGATACCTGGACATTACTTTTTTCAACTCCAGATATTGATGGCTGCGTGTCCCCAGGACAAGTCTGTATCTCTGTTTCCTGGGTTTGTGATACCAGATCCAAATGTCCATGCTGGTCCTTTACATCAAAGTCCAAACATCTTTGGGTTACTCCTGGTTTAGCTCTAGTGTGTGCATCAGCACCTCCTGATGGAATTTGTTCGGCTTGTGCGCTCAGTCCCTACCTCCTGACATAATTCCTCTTCCCAGTAGGCTGATTCCCATTTTCCTTGGGAGGCTTTGGAGTTTTAGGCTTCTGCAACTTTGCTGATTGTCCTTCTTTAATGACCTTTGGCCTATGTTTTTTCCTCTTAGATTTTTGAACCAATTTTCCATTAATGTCAGTACCTTCAACTGCTCCAGCATAATTAACAGCTTGTGAGTTAGCAGATAACTTTTCAGATGTCACAGGGGGGTTCAATTCTCCGGTACCCAGCTCAATGGAAGATTCCATCTGAAAGGGCACGGAAGAAGTTGCAAAACACAGATTGATACCATGAGGTACATGCATCCTTTGCCCTAGACCCTCCTGTATATTTCTGTAACTTATGGTGCCAGTCACATTGTTATCCAAATGAGGTGCATCATATCAGCCGACTTCACCTGTGAGAGTCATGAAGACACAATACAGTCACATAATATTCAAAAGGTCACAGTTTATATTATGAAAAAACAGTACAGCGAGTCAGTGCACTCGTTACAACTTGAAACATCAATGCAAGAGACTCTAAATAATATCGATGGTCCTCGAGTTTTGTTTAGCTTGTTGACAAACTCTAACTGACTGGAGTTGGCATGATCACTTTGACAACATTTCAGTGCTCGAGGAGGTAGCAGAAGGTGCCACCACCAGTTTCTTGAGAACCTTTCTATATGTGTACAAAATAGAACTGTACATATAAATTGTGAACTATCGACAACAGAAGTTAATATCCAATTGTATCTAACTGCTGCTATGGTCTACTGTCCAGTGTCCACTTCTATTGTTGTAGGAACATCTGTTTTGTATCAACTGAGTAGGAACATCACTTGTGTATCAACTAAGGTATGTCTATTGGTCCTTCTCTCTTTTTATCTAACTTATTCAGCATTTCAGCTACTATATTTATATAATTTATTCAGCTATACACGATGAATGAAAATTTAGCAAAATGCCTAGAAAACACCTAGGCTTGCCTAGGCTCTAGGCAGTGGGTCACCGCCTAGTGCCTTTTTGAACATTGCATATAATTATTACTGTCCAAGCCTAAATTTTTTTGTGTTTGTATATTTTTTACTGTACTCTTAGGATTTATCAAATTCAAGTTATTTGTGATTCTACTGTGTCTACCTTATTTATTCGTAGACTGGTTAGCAATGCAGTAAACAAAATTGTTGTGGATTCCAATTCATTTCACTCATTGGATTGTTTTAAACTGTAACATCTGGTATTTGTTGAACTATTTAGTTATTCACAGAGCAAACATCTGCTGAAAAGAAAACATAAAAAAAAGGACGTACCCAGTGCAGAGAGCTCCCGTTCTGTGCGGGGTCTGGGGAAGGGTGTCAGTGGCAAGCCTTACCCTTGCCTGTGCAATGCGAGGAGACCGCGACTCGAACCTGGGACCTTCCGGTCACAGGCGGTAAGACTCTAATGCTGAAAAGAAAACATATGAAAGAAATTTGGATTTCCCTCGAAAAGTGTAGAAAGGAACTAGTCGGCTAGTGAGGAACTACTCAACCATGTGGCTCGGATTATAGAATCTTTTGAATGCATATAAAGGGAAATTTGGCTCGTGTATCAAAATGAAGGCCGCTCATTATCAAAATTGATATATACAGTTCAATAAACGAAGTTAGTCACTGTCAACAATAATGAGAGGGTCAGACATATCCAAGTTTTGCACCCATCGAAGTGGTGGCATTGGCTAAGGACAACAAAAGCTGGGCAAAAGCAGATGCAAAACCTATTATGGCAGCTGGTATGTTTATGCTGACTCTGGTTCTCGTGTGAACCGAATGCTATGGAGGCATTTTAGTTTCTTGTAGATGTAAGATACCATCAACAGAGTAAAAATGAAAAGAGCAACACTTGTTCTGCAAATTGCTTCTTATTGGTGGTTTAGTATATTAACTCATTTTATTTTATTTTTTCCGTTTGTTAGTAATGTTTTATTCAGCTAGACTGCAAAGAGTTGAACTTCAGGCAACAAAATTAGCTTCATTTCATTGTGTTTAGGACTATATAAATCATAGTGCAGGTCCAATAAAAAAAATAGCTATTTAGGGTGTTACAGATTGAAAGCAAATCTACAACTGCGATCATAATCAAAACATTCTTCATATAAATCTCGACACGTACATTCCAACCCTAAACACCGGAACAAAAGGATTTACGTGACGAACACAGACAGGCACACAAGATCAATCAATAACAGCACGCATGCCGGACGGATCACCAGAAATGGGAAAATCGGGAACAGAGGACGGGAGAGAAGCTTGGTGGGACGCGAGACTCACCCGCCGGCACTGGAGGCGGGGAGGGGCAGGCAGAGTGGGAGGCGGCTCCGAACATTGAGAGGCGCGTCGAGGTGAGAGAGGGCGATGCCTTGCTGGGGACGGACGGCGGCGGGGTCGCTCCGCGAGGAAGGGGCGGCGGCGGGGTCGCTCGGCGAGGGGCGGACGTCGTCGCGGTCGGTCGGCGAGAGGGCGGACGGCGGCGGGGTTGCTCGGCGAGAGGCGGACGGCGGCGGGGTCGCCCGGCGAGGGGCGGACGGCGGATGGCGTCGCTCTGCGAGGGTGCGACGGCGGCGGGGTTGCTCCTCGAGGGTCCGACGACCGACGGTGCTGCTGCCTACCACGATCCACGTGGAAGAAGTATTGCTTGGTTCGCTTGGGCCGTTCGATGGTCTTCGGAAGGCTGAAAACGTTTCAACTGCATAAGTTGCAGTAGCAATAGCAACTGCACTGGATCTCAGGGCCTGTAAGAAATACAAGAGTTGATTATATGAATGGTAATAAAGAGTCATTATTAGTGCTTAATGGTAGTTTATTAGTTGCATATTTTGTCCCTGACTCTCTTACACGAATAGGCCTATCCACCGACCACTGTTGCACGCATACATGTTTCTAGGGTGGGGCTTTGACCAGCCTCATGCTGTGGCGGTAGAGGCCGGCCAGAGCACGCCTAGGGAGAGGAGCGGTTTTCGCGTGGTGGCGGTAACGCCCTGTTTAAACTTATCACTCCGTCTTATCAATGCATGTTACAGTGTTTTTCTCTCACAACAAATCAGCATCAGCCGGTTTATCAGCCGCAGAAACCATCAGCCGAACAGCCATGATTCGTAATTCTTTGTATAGGGGGTCCGTTCGCACCGGACGCTCCAGATGGTGGGCCACCCATGCCAGCCCAACGACCTCTCCTTTATGTGCTCAACCGCTCACCCCCAACTATTCTAAAAAACTCACCTCACCGCAGCACCACGACAGGTCTCCGCGATACTACGACCTCTCTCCGTCGCGCTGCCTCAGCGACCGCGCTCTCCACTATGCCTCCCTCTCCACCGCGCCTCCGCTCCGCCAGGATCCATCGCGCTAGAGCGCAGCAACCCGTCTTCCTCCCTCTCCACCATGCTTCTTGCCCCCCGGCCTTTTTCTAGAGCGCATGGACCTGCCGCGGCCTTCTCCACCGAGCCTGCCCCCCTTCTCCACCGGAGCGCGCGAGCTCTACGCCACTAGCGAGCTCTATATCAGTGAACTCCATGCGCCAACGAGCCTCCATTCCAAAACAGCAAGGAGATATTGCGTTAAAAAGCACATGTTTCAAATGTTTCAGATGTTTTAGAGGTATATTGCAAGTGTTTTATGCGGATGTTGCAAAAGTAGATCGGGATATTGCATACGTTGCAAGTGTTTCGGAGTCATGTTGCAAGTGTTTCAAAGGCATGTTGCAAGCGTTTGTTCAAAATGTTTCATATGTTTTAGATGTATGTTGCAAGCGTTTTCGATTTGGATGTTGCATATATTTCGCATATATGTCGTAAGAGTATGTTCAAAATGTTTAAGACGTTTCAGTCTTATGTTGCAATAAGTGTTTTCATGTTGCAAGTTGCACGTGTTTTGTCGCATGTTGCATATGTTTCACACACATGTTCCAAGTGTGTGTTTCAAATGTTTCATTTGCTTCAGACGTATGATGCATCCAAGTGTTTCATATTTCAGAGGTAGAGAGTCATGGGGCACGGCCCGGGCGCCGGGGGATGGGGCGTGGCAAGCCGGGGCTGGCGGATGGGGCGCGCGGGGGCTAGTGGTCGAGGTGTGTGGCGCACCTGGGGTCATACGCATGGGGCGCGCTCATCCAGTCGTCCTCATCCCTACTCCTGGGTCCTGCCCGTGTGTGGAGAGGAGAGGGTTCAGGGGAAGGAGCGCGTGGGGGCAGTGGCGGGCGCGGGGAGGAGGCGCGGCGTCCGGACTCGCGGAGAGAGAGGAGGGGGTAAGTAGAAAGGAGCAGCGGGCGCAGCGCATTTCTGCGGTCGTGCGTGACGGAGGAGACGCAGGCGTCTAGATGTGCGCTTCTGTCCAGATGTCCAGACGCTAGTATCTCCATATTAATATACAGTACCATCTTCACTCTCCCATGTTGTAACCCATAGTTTTGCGTGAGTTAGTTAGCTAGTCACCAGGGCGCGCCCATGACGTCGCCCATGACCATGAGTCCGCGCCCCTGGGCACCATGTTGTAACACATATATATTTCACAGATGATGCAATGGGATCCCTGTTAGAATGCATCGGAGCAGGCAAGACACCCGGAACAGGTTGTTGGAGCATGTTCTATGCCAGTAGCCTACTGGTTTTGCCGACCCTGCTCGTCCAGACGTCGCCTGTCTCCTGGATAAGTCTCTTTATGGACTACGTCAGGCTCCCCGAGCTTGGTTTGATCGTTTCGCCAAGTTTGTGATCACCATCGGCTTCACCCTCACTCGTTCTGACTCATTACTGTTCGTCTTTCACCGTGGCAATGACATCGCCTACCTCCTCTTGTATGTGGTGACATGATGCTCACCCGCTCTGGCCCGGCTCTCCTTCAGCACATTGTCCCGCAGTTGCGCGCCGAGTTTGCCGTCAAAGACCTCGGCGAGCTGTGCTCCTTCCTTGCCATCGCTGTCAAGCGAGATGCTCACGGCTTCTACTTATCCCAGCAACGGTATGGGGAAGCTGTCCGCCAACGGTGACAAAATTGATGATGCTACAACCTACAAGAGCTTGGCCGGTGCATTGCAGTACCTGACCATCACAAGACCGGATCTTGCATTCGCCGTTCAGCAGCTGTGCTTGCATATGCACGATCTAAGAGTGCCACATCTCGCTCTACTCAAGCGTCTTCCTTGGTATGTGCACGGCATGATAAGACTGGGCCTCTCTCTCCGCGCCTCGCCGTGTCTCGACGTCACGGCGTACTCCGACGTGGGCTGGG